ATGAAGGAGTATGTGCCACTTAGAAAACCAGGAAGGCCAAGGAGGGGTGGAAATGGTATAAAAAACAAGGATGGAGATGGAACTTCAAAACAAAAGGCAGTTAAGCTTACAGTGAAAAGAAAGAAGAATACAAAGAAGGCTGGAGAAGGATCCTCAAACCAAGAAGGCCAAGGAGGGGTTGAAACTGCAAATGATGCAACTATACAGGAAGAAAATGCAACTGTACATGAAACTGCTCAAGAAGAAAATGCAACTGGAGAAGAAACTGTACAGGAAACTATGCAAGAAGAAAATGGAACTGTACATAAACTGTACAGGAAAGTGCACCTGAGATTGTGAATTATGCAGATGCTATTTCTGATTAAATTGATGTATTGTTGTTGCAGAAATGTGGTTATGAACCTCATAAGATTGCACAGGCTATAGAAAGGGTAGACGTTAATGAGATTGAAGATCACTTGCTTGAAGATAACTAGCTTGAAGATAACTTGCTTGAATATAACTTGGAAATGGTATGAAAACCTTTACTTTAAATTTATTATAATTAATATGTGATTTACATAAGGTAATTAACTAGATCATATCTTACAGGGTTTAGATGCTAATAAGATTGAAGATCACTTGGAAGCAGACTTAGAAGAGGATGTTAATGAGATTGAAGATAACTTGCTTGAAGAAAACTTGGAAATGGTATAACAACCATTACTTTAAATTTCTTATAATTAATATGTGATTTACATAGGGTAATTAACTAGATCTTGTCTTAGAGGGTGTAGATGCTAATGAGATTGTGCCACCAGTGCAAGGGGAAGTTGCTATACAAGGTTTAGATGCTAATGCTTGGGTTGGTGAAGATGATCAGGAAATTGATGGGAATATTGACTTCATTGAAGATACACAAGTTGTTGGGAGGCCTAGGAAAAGGAAGATTTTTGAGAGAATTGTGAAGATCAAGCTGAAGAAAGCAGTTTATGATAAGGATGGAATGGGTTTTAGTATTAAGAAACTAGTTAATTTGGAGTAGGACTGTTTAGGAGGGGGAATCATGGGCACTTTGTATTTTTCTTGCCCTTTTTGTTAACATATCATCAACTTTTGGTAACAACCATCCAATTATATATCATCATCTAGTAGTATTCAATTAAGCCTTTTTGAACATTGGTAGTTAATGGCCATTAGAAAGATTGTTGGGCAATTGGTTGTTTGGTTCTGATTCTAATACACCCTTTTATGTTATTATGAATGCAAGTATTTGAAGTTAATGTCATTTCACTTTGCTTGTCATTTCACTTGCTTACAATCATATGTTAATTGTCATTCCAGTTAATGTCCTTTACTTCCTTACATAAGTTTTAGTACATTTAGTTATTACCAAGTTTTACCAAGTTCTAGCACATTTCACTTGCTTACACAAGATTTAGTAATCCCCCTTTGCTTACACAAGTTTTAGTACATTACCATAACTACAATGTAATGAATCACTATAATGCAATTACCAAATCACATGGACATAAATAGCATTGGATTACCATCAATACACTTCTCCATCAAACATGACCATAACTACATTGATCACATGCCCTAACCAAAATAACAAACCTACAACAACCTTAACCCTACCAAAATACAAAAAAATTACAACCCGCCCTAACCAACTGGTTCTTAAAATACAATGCCAATTAACAGAATTACTCCAATAACCACCAGCATCACCAACACAAACTACAGCAACTTGATCACATGCAGAACACCACTAGAAACAATTTTGTTATAGGGCTCCCTTTCATTAGCATAAAACTCCAGGTCGTCCGTGTCAAGCCACTTGAAATATTTACACCCTTTCTTGGTACCCTGCCAACAAACGCTTCATTTACTAACATTTGAAAGATAACAAAATGGGAAAACAAAATCCCTTAATTTTACCTTATAGTTAGGGCATGCCTTGAACTTTCTTCCTGGGTTTTTATCAGTTCTTGAAATTGAGTATTGCAGTTGATCACCACAATCACACCTGGTGCGATAAATCGGTTTGATGATAGAAGATGTTGAAGACGAAGCCATGGAAAAGAAGAAGACGTGATGTGTGAGGAAGAAAGCCTTTCGCAAGAGCGAATGAGAGGTTTGGGGGGCAAATAACGATTTTGGGTATGTAAAAACTTATGGTTACCTGTTAAACCGACGACACCGGCTACCATTGACTTTTCATAACCAATCAACACAATTAACGGCAAATAAGTAACAAATAAAAATATTGGGGTTAAATCAAAACGGATATGTATAAATAATGGTTTTTAAGGTATTAACCCTATATCGGATTATACCATAAAATTTACATCTTTACAAAAAAAACACATTTTTTTCGTTCAAAATTCTTTTAAGTCATGTTTTTATCGGAAAAAAAAACGGAATATACTGTTGTTTACGATTTTTCGTCCTCTTTCCATAGAGATCAATGGTGATATATAAAAAAACAATTTTTTTTCAAAAAAAATTCACTTCGTTTTGTTGTTTTTTCAATATTTAAGTTTATTTTTATCCAAAAAAAACAAATCAATTATACCAAAATCTCAATTTTTTGTCCTCAATTAATAAACATCATCAACGATTAAAAAAACTCGATTATTTTACATTCACATTGTGAATCTAAATTGTAAATATTTTAATTTTAACATTTATATTTTGAATCTGATATACTATTCACATTGTATAATGGTTGATCCAGCAAAGATTGAAGCTGTAATGAAGTGGGAACAACCAAAAAGTCCCACGGAGATTCGAAGCTTTTTAGGATTAGCCGGATATTACCGAAGGTTTATCCAAGGCTTTTCTTTGATCGCTAGTCCATTAACAGCTTTGACCCACAAAGGAGCTAATTATGCTTGGAGTGATAAGCATAAAGAAGCATTCGAGAAGCTAAAGAAGAAACTATGCGAGGCACCGATACTTTCTCTACCCGATGGAGTTGAAGACTTCGCTGTTTATAGCGATGCGTCTGGTGTTGGATTGGGTTGTGTTTTGACCCAAAGAGATAAGGTGATCGCTATGCATCTCGACAGCTGAAAGAGCATGAAAAGAACTACCCGACTCATGATTTGGAGTTGGCAGCGGTAGTTTTCGCTTTGAAAATATGGAGGCATTACCTCTATGGCACGAAGTGCAAACTTTTCACTGATCATAAGAGTCTCCAATATCTCTTCAATCAGAAAGAATTGAATATGAGGCAACGACGCTGGATGGAATTACTTAAAGACTACGACTGTGAGATACTTTACCACCCCGGTAAAGCCAATGTTGTTGCTGATGCTCTCAGTCGGAAAGTCAATCTTGAAAAGGAAGGCCAAGAGCGTTGAGAATTGAAGTTGTCTCAACCATTTTGGAAAGTATAAAGAAAGCTCAAGAGGAAGCTTCGGAGAAGAATGACCGAAGGAGGAACGTTTGGGCAAAACGTTGGTGTTCGGTGTAAACAGTCACGGACTGAAGGTGTTCCAAGATCGGATTTGGATACCTAAGACAGGAGGAGTCAGAGATCTTCTGATGGAAGAAGCTCACAAGACCATGTACTCAATTCATCCCGGTAGCACTAAAATGTATAGGGACCTGAAACCCTATTATTGGTGGCCGACGATGAAGCTCGACATTGCGAAGTATGTGGCCGAGTGTGTGACTTGTGCAAGAGTCAAGGCACAACATCAGAAACCGTACGGGAGTTTAGAACCATTGCCTGTGCCTATGGGTAAGTGGGAAGACATTACTATGGATTTTGTCACTAAACTGCCCAGAACAAAGAATGGTCACGACATGATTTGGGTGGTCGTCGATCGATTCACTAAGAGTGCGCATTTCATAGCAGCCAATGAGAAATGGTCTATGGAAAAGCTTGCGAATTCTTATGTGAAGGAAATTGTGAGACTTCACGGTGTTCCGCTAACAATTGTGTCGGATCGTGATAGTCGTTTCACCTCAAGATTTTGGAAAAGTCTACAAGAGGAATTGGGTACCAAGTTGTGTTTAAGTACAGCTTACCATCCGCAGACTGATGGTCAGAGCGAACGGACGATACAAACACTTGAAGATATGTTGAGAGCGTGTACCTTGGAATTCCTAGGTAATTGGGATGAACATTTACCTTTGGTAGAATTTTCCTATAATAATAGTTTTCACTCGAGCATAAAGATGGCACCTTATCAAGCTTTGTATGGACAGAAGTGTCGTACGCCGTCTTGTTGGCTTGAGGCTGGGGAAAAGCAGTTTATGGGGCCGGAGATAGTCCATCAAACTGCTGAAAAGTTGAAAATAATTAGGGAGAGAATGTTAGCAGCTCAGGATCGTCAAAAGAGTTATGCTGACAAAAAGCGAAGACCGATGACTTTTGAAGTTGGAGATTCGGTTTTGCTTAAAGTCTCGCCGTGGAAGGGACTTATAAGATTTGGAAAAAGGGGAAAGTTAAGTCCAAGGTTTATTGGACCGTTTAAAGTTCTTCAGAGGATTGGGAACCAAGCTTACAAGCTCGAACTACCAGAAGAACTGAATGGAATTCATAACACTTTCCATGTGTGTTATTTGAGGAAGTTCACGGGAGAAGTTCCCGACATAATTCCACTTTCAGAGTTGAGGATCGATGAGAACAAAAGGTTGATTGAGGAACCGGAGGCAATTGTTGACCGAAAGACTAAGAAATTGCGACGTAAGATGGTGGAGTTAGTGCTTGTCCGATGGAAACACACGAATGGGCCAAATCTCACCTGGGAGACGGAGAGTGACATGATGAGTCGCTATCCGCATTTGTTTGCTGGTGTGTGATTCCGGGGACGGAATCATTCTAAGGTGGAGAGAATTGTAACGCCCGTGTTTCTAGGCTTGCCATTTTTAGCAATGTAATAGTCTAGGTTAACCTTGTAACTCAACTTGAAATAATAAGAATGTATTATTTGTGAATTATTTGAATGTGATTTATTGTGTATTTTCTAATTTTATAATTTAATGAATTAAGAATAAAATAAGCGTCAAAATTTAAGTGTGAGATAAGCCCGACTTTTAAAGTTGTAGTGGTCGAAACAAGGATTCCGGAGATATAAGGAATGCCAAAATCCGAGTTATAACGAAGAAGTTATGACCTGTCGAAGTTTCGCGACAGAACCGACACGCGAGTGACGTAAAATATGAATTTAAGATAGAGCGATATTTAGCCTTAGCGATCTAAACGAAAGTCGTAGATTTCGTTAAACCGAGAGCGTGCATAAAAGGAACGCCCAAATCTGACTTCGTATGAGGAAGTTATGATTTTCTGAAGTTTCGACAGCAGTATGCAGCCCGAATACTCGATTTGAGATCGAGCGGTTTTTAGCCGAAACAATCTAAATGAGAATCGAAGATCTTGTTGTTAGTAGCGAAACGATGAAAGTTAGGCGAGAACGGACGTCAGACGAAGAAGTTATGAATTTATAACGAAGTTTTTCTGTCCCGGCCTTCTAAAAATAAATAATAAAAATAAAAGTCAAAATTAGCCGACGGAGTCTAAATGAAAGTTGTAGAGTATGGTCTGACCTTCGCGTGGATATAAAGAACGTCGAAAACGGAGCTCGTATGCGAAAGTTACGCAATTTAGAAGTTTGACAAGTCAATTACGCCCCGCGTAATTTGAGTACGCCCCGCGTACTCAGTCGGATGCAACTTGTCTGACCAATACTCGAGTGCCACCAGTCGACGCACGCAGTGACGTCAAAGTACGCCCCGCGTCAGACCCGACTGAGTACGCCCCGCGTAATTTGAGTACGCCCCGCGTAATCCCAGACCCAGCAGCCTATAAATAGAACTCGAATTCAGCCATTTTCTCTTGTTCAAACTCTTCCCTCTCTCTAAGTTTTGCCTCGTTTTGCGTGCCGTTTATACCCCAAAGCCCCGGTAATATTCCCGAGCCCCGAAGTAAGATCCGAAGCCCCGAGGATCCCGAAGAGCGTTATTCCCGAGCCGAAACGCTGCCCGCGAGGAGCCCGGTTTTGTGAAGATCTTCCAGATCTACGGAGAAACACCTCTT